ATAGCTAAATGCGCTGGTTAATTTATCGCGTAATGTATGACACGAACCGAAAGCATTTCAGAGGACAATGTAAAGGTAGCAGCTCATTTTCTATATACGCGGACATATAGGGTACTTAAATAATTTCAAACGCAGCCTTGGAGTACTTCGTCAAACGCGAGGGACCATAAAGGGAAAGAGCACCCCTTCGTGGAAAGTGCAACCGCAACTTTTCGAGATATCGCCACGCATTTTTTGTAAGATCGAGCAAGAAGGATCTCGCGCGAGCTTTGAGCCGCGTTTGCCACTGTCCGCTCACGGCAGTAAATTTCATTTGCAGGTCAAGCAACTGTGTGCAATGTTATAACTGAAATTTTGTGAAACGTGCCGGAAATGTATCCGTGGAACATGTGGGATGGAATGAAACTCTGAAATATTTTTAAAAGACTATGGAAAACGGAAAACGCAACGACATGAATAAATGGAGAAGTAATATGTTGTATCACGATAGATTTTACGAAGCGATATCACATTTGTACTTTGCTTTAACAAAAGACAGCTATGCTTTTAGTTAATTTGAAATAATGCTTTTTGTAAATTTAAAAGATCTAGGTCGAAGGTAAGGAAATATGCTATTATATCGCAAAGACTTCTTTCAAGAGAATATCATTTTCCTTGTACCGTGAATTTTCAGCGTCCATTCAGAAACGAACTAACTTAATTTCGAGATTGCATAATATGCTTTATCATTAAATTCAAATAATCTAAATTTAATAAATAGAAAAATTTATTTAAATATAGAAATACTTGATAGAAAATAATAACGCTATTGTATTTATGCATTCTAAATATGTATAAATATATGTATAATAAAAATTACATGAAAACAATAACTACTCAAGATGATCTACGATATCGAGAAGTCACATGTCAAATTTAGCCAATTTTTTTCTAAAATAAATATTTTTAATGTAGAAATATTTTCAAAAATGTTTAGATTTTTATAAGCTACTACTGCAATATCTACCTTTTTTCACAACTTTCTTATGTCTTATATATCTGTATGTGCAAACGTATGTAATTAAAACATTTAGATTTAGCCGATGAAGATATACGTTTAGGAAACACAACAAAGTCGATTAATCTTTTTTTTATCAGATGTTACTTTCGATTTACAACTGTGCCGAAAGAGATAAAAACCATATTTCTCTTTCCGAGCATTATGATACATTCACAGAATATGCAAATATATCTCGAACTATCAACGAACAGATCTTTTCAAGATTCATGCCGTATTGTATTCCCGATTGAAAAACAATCTCATCTTTCGTAAATCGTGTTTTCATTATTTCCTTGCACTTTCAAGATAGAAATGCTTTCGTTACGATCGACGACCGTGTCGAGATACAGTAATATCAACGAAATTAAACCCACCGGTGAAAAGCCTCTCTCTCGCAAATTTAATACTGAGCAAACATCGACTGCGATGATAAAATCGATAAATTGATAATAACTATTAGCTGATATAAATCTCGTTACTTCCCTCTCTTCAGCTTATATCGATGTGGCTTACCCATTAAAGTTCACATACACATAAATTATTTTGCAATGTTTCAACTTACAGGTATAACAAATCCAAAAATACTTATTTGTCTCGGTAGAATCGCGCTACACATTTGAACCCTTGTCATTCTTTTATAAATAAATCACAGAGAGAGAGAGAGAGAGAGAGAGAGAGAGAGAGAGAGAGAGAGAGAATTTGATTAAAATACAAAATTCTGTCCATAAATTTCATCTTTATATATTTAATAAAATTAAACGAAATTAGGGTGACAATGAGGGTAATAATGAAAATTCCATTAGCAGCCAAAATACAAACATATTTTGAAAATAGAATCTTATTTCGAAAGTATTCGGCGTATCGATGCTACGTATGAGATCGGCGAATTTTTCGTGATCGCGTTTATGGAGCCAATGTAACGACGACCGAGGCATTCGCGAACGTATAACCGGGCTGCCACATCCGATTTCCACGTTTCTATTTCGCTATCGCTTTTTGTGCGGCCGGCCATTGTAATCCGGCCGATCGCCTGTGTATGGCAGCGTGCTGCTCTGAGGCTTATTGACGTCGACTTCCGATACAGGCTGTCGAGTTGTGCCGCCGTTTCTGCGCCCAGCGGCCACGTCGTGCGAGGGAGAAGCTCGCGTCAAGCCCCAATTACGGATAATCAATTTCGCCGACGACATCTTCGAGCGTGAACGGTTTTAATTAAAGGCGCGGATGCTCCTTTCTGTTCGCGGATACCCCGCCTGATGACCCCGCCCCGCCCCGCCCCGCCCCTCTCCGCCCCACTCAAAACAGCAACGCAGATCTTTTCAAAGCACATGACATGCAACGATTTCAAATAAAGCACCTCGCACGAACGTTCGCACATATCCGAAACGTTCGCACGATCGATAAACCAAACGCGATACGACCACCTTTATCCCCCTCCTTCCCTTTCGCTCCTCCCTCCCCTCCCCCTCTCCCCCCTACACACGTATGTATGTTGTAATCCGTCTACAGGAAATGTCTTTCTAGATCTGTTAACACATATATGTTTTATATTTAGTGTTTTGTGTTTTTGCTCGTTTATTTCTTTATTTTCCACAGTCCAATAACTACTTTGTTCGATACATTAATTATGCATTATTAAGTATGCTTTTTATCTTGACATATTATTATTATTTCTCAGTAATATTCAACATAATCGCTGAGTAACGCGAATCCATCGATCGAATAAGGCCAATTTCATTCAATGCAAGATTTCTGCAAACGTATAATTAAAACTCCGTTCATTTAAATATAGATTCAAATATAGATATTTTAACGTTTATACATATTTTATATTTTGTTTCATTAAATAATTGTTTTCTGTTTATGCATACAATATTGCTCTAATCTCACAGAAAAAAATTGCTATTTTTTTAAAAATGTATGAGCAATATAAATATAAATAATGATTAAAATGATTAATTTTAAGCAATATTAAAAAAAATAATTGTAATTGCATTCATAAATTGCATTAGTATGTATATCGCGAATATCAACTGTTCGACGTACTAGTGAGTAAGTAAAGTAGTCGTAAATTCTGCGTGAGATATTCGCAGCTGCAATTTCTTAATACTTTTCTCAAAACCCCGACATATATATTTCCACATATATATTTCATCAAAATTCATGCATCTACTACATTGACTTTCACAGTGGTAATCCTGATAACGTTTTGGAATGCGCAAAATATAATTCGGACAACTTAAGAAAAGTATTCAAATGTAGGAACAACTGTAGGATAAATCCGCAAACATGCGTAACTTTTCTTTTTACCAACTTCACATAATCTCATACATTTTTAAAGAATACTCTGGTCGCCGGTTTGCTATTCCTGTTATTCATGTTCTTTGAGCTACAATATGTCAATACCTAATTGATTTATTTATAAAAAAAAAAAACGTCTTCAGACGTTTATGTTCTTTCGTCATGGAAGAAGAACTCTATAAACTGATACTGCTCGCAGATTTTAATTCTAGCGAGTGATTAATTGAACGCGTTAATGCTTGCAAAGATGGTTCTATGCTCATGTAAACAAGAGCTTTCTCATTTCTCTCTCGTAATACACAAGGCTCAATCTCCGAAATTGTGTTTAAGCATTGCATGCAAAAGTATTAACAGTGTTGACAATTATTGCAAAATTTTCAATAATATCAGTCAATTTATTCCTAAAGATAATACTGTCAATTCTCCTTTCTCCCTTAAATAATATTATTAAATAATATTATTTATATAACATACAAAAATCTATAAACATCAAAATTAACTTAGCGATTAATTTTTTTATTCTTATATTTAATATTTTAAATAAAATGTAATTATTTCTTTTCTTTTGCACAATATTTATCTATTGTCAAAAAAATTGTTTGTCAAAAATTATAAAGAATATATACGTATAATATAAAATAATTCAAATTTTTATTTGAATTTAAAAATTTTTGATCAATCAGAATAACATTATATGCAAAACTTTCCTAATAACAATATAAATTTGTAAATGTTAAAGTTAAATTGATTGATCGAAATTGTCTAACCGTTAATTGGAAACTGCTTTATACTAGAAAAATATGTAGAATTCAACTTTTTTATAACGACAATTAAAACGATGTTGAACCAAAAATGAATTTTATCGATATCAGTAATTAATTTATAGACAAAATTTTTAATATTTTCTTCAATTATTGATCATAATAAATGAATTAAAAAATATCAAAATATTCTATAAATGACAGAGCTATCAGATTTGATCAAGCCTTTATTATATGATGGCTAATAATATCAACGACTAGGGATCATTAATAATGACTGACCAGTGATAAGTGATAGACAATACTCTTTCTTCGTCAAAAAAGTGACACAGATTGATACTATCGGTAAATACAGTCGCGTTTCCTCCAACTTTTTCCTTGAATTCCTATAATTTATAACTTATTCCTTATCCATTTTTTCAGCTGTCAACTTATCGAGTGTCTCTTAAAAATATTCGATTCTGTCAATCAGAATATCCTCAAACTCTCTTCAGAGAAAGTTAGAAAAGTTTGAATGTCAGTCATACTTAAAAGTTACGAACTTAACAAAATCTTACGAACGTTTTCATTCAAGATAACGTAAGTGAGCGATGTAATCTTTAGATAGAAACTTTTCAAGAATTACTCTCCTTTTTATCGCATTAAATTGAGAAACGTCTGATTAGTAAGACCCATTTACTCATCTTCACGAGTTTTCACGGAACCGTTCGTGGAACTTACCAGTCCACCAAGTTTTGTACGCAAGCGATTCGATCGATTCTCACTTTAAGGGACGATTCACGTGTTCGCCGTACCGACGAAGGGCGCGAATCCACGACGTTTATACAGGGTAATCCAAAATAGGTCGATCGTGCGAGCGAACCCTGACGATTGACCTATGAACCGACGACATAGAGACGTACCTATCGAAATTCGATTCACACTGACGCTTATTTTTGCTAACACACACTTGTCAAACTTATATCTCACTTCATCACAAGACTCCTCGCGTCATCATCTGGCGGATCCACTCATTTCTGACAACATGTGAAACTCGCTTATATCCTTCGGTGAGTTTCGATATGTCACACACTTAATACGATTAATCGTATTCGATGCCGAATGATTTAGCATTCACTTTATACGTATTCGCGGAAGTTTCGCGTTTAATCAGTCTTGGAATAAATTCACGATTTTGATCCAATAGTTGCCGGAGGTCTTCTTAATACAGATCGTCCAAAGAACAACGTGACATTCTTTATGGTGACAATTTTCTTCGTTGATATACGAGATCGGTCATGCGAGAAATTTGTCTGTCCACTGTTTCTCAAGCGTAAACTTTCCACCGTCCAAAAGTGACACGCTTTGATCAAGTTTCCCTTAGTGCGGATGCCTGCTTCACTTCGTCGATACCCAACCTCAAGAATAGCCACAACTTCGTGGCAAAGTCCAACCGCAGAATCTTCCGCCCGTTTTCATATTTCAGCAGGCAGGTCTTGGCGTAAATCCTAGCGGAGACACGCGACAGGGCCACTGCCCAATCTTGAGATTTCAGGTACGTCGCGACGCGATAGGATCGCCACGTTCGACAGTAGCCACGTGGTGCACGAGGGTAGAAACGTGCTGCTGATCGCGAGTGTCGATCACCGTAAGGTAAGCACGGAGAGTCTTGACGCGGCACAAATCAGTCCGCAGGGCGCGGGTTCCCCGTGCGACTACAGAATTCGAACTACACGCACCCAGCCGGAGGATCGGTTCGATCGGTTCGATCCGCTGATT